AAAAAAGGAGATAATTTGACAGTGCTCCTTTCACTTATTTATTATTTCTATTCTCATAGCACCTAAGAGTCGTTATTTTCCTTTGTAACCGTTGTTCTAATGCGGTGGAGTGAATAGGGTAAATGGGTAAATGGTTTTCAGTCAAGGAGGCAACTTCTTGATGGGGCGGCTCTGTTTTTTGCCGCCCCAAGCACAGCAGTAGGCGGACTTCAACTGCGTGCATGCGGGCAGTCCGCGGTCACACGGATTTGGCGGCATTTCTGCGGGTGATCTGCCGGTCCCGCGGCTTCGGCGTGCTTGCCACCGAAACCATGGGACTGGCGGACCTCCCGCAGGCACACCGCCGAAGGCCATCTGACTGCCGCCCTCACAGTGACCGGCAGGCCGCCCCCTGCAGCTTGCCGCCCCAGGCACGCGCTTGCTGCGCTGGTGCCTGGAGCCGCCCCTGCTACTTGAATAGGAGATAAGTAGGTTAAGGCAGTGGAATAAATCAGTAGAGAAATAATTATTAATTATTTTTAAAAATTAACGCTTTTGCAAATCTACACAGAAGTGGCTCTCAGGAATATGAATAGCAATTCTCCTCATAGCACTAACAGATTTACTTAACTTCAGTAATAGTGGTGAAAAATCTACTTAGCCATTCATAGTTTGCAAATCCTTGGATATTTCTAATTATCTGAATTCAGAGGGAATAAATTGGATTAAAGGGAATAGATTCTCTTCATATTTCAGGCTTAAAGTTTTAATCGGTTTCTTTTGTGTGAATTTATAGTAACATTTTTCATAACGTGGTGTATCTGAAATTTAGTGGTAATGCACTTATAGCAAGGACATTCAATATTGAAAATCTCCAGGTGGTGTTATTACCTGGAATACACTACGCAAAGTAATGCTGCACTTTTATTATTCTCGGTACGTAATGTACTAGTCGGTGATGTGGAGATTTTGTAAAGATCTTCTTGTACTACACAATGTTCCATCAAAAAGTTAACCAGCTTTTCATTTATTTAATTACATTAAAACATTAGGTCAGTTTGAGAAGATGATGAATTCCACAGCTCATCAACTAATCTAAAAAATGTAGATGCAAATAATTTATTCAGTGTTTGCCAGTTAACCGTTTTGAATAATGTATTTGACAAATATTGTGCTACCATCTGTACAACTGATTAGATAGTGAAGATATGTATGCAAGGATAACTTATTTCCTCTCTCACCAGTGTTATTCATTACTATTATTCAACCAGTTCTAATAGAAGAAACCTTTATAATGAATTTAAGATTTTTACTAAAAGTTCAAGAAACGATGGGCATGTCTCCACCACAGCGGCACATCTGTGGTGCTGCACCTCTACCACTGTCGCTCTGTAGTGTAGTTGCTTCCTACGTTGACTGAAGGGGTTTTTCTGTCGATGTAATTAGTGCACCTCTCCGAGAGACGGTAGCTAGGTTGAGGAAAGAATCCTTCCACTGACCTAGCTGTCTCTACACTGGGGGTTAGGTCAACCTAACTACGATGCTCAGGGTGCAAAATTTTTCACAGCCCCGAATGGCATAGCTAGGTCAATCTGATTTTTAAGTGTAGATCAGATCTCTATATTAAACATCCCTCTTTAAGGCTCTGCATAATCTTGTTCCCACCTACATCTCTCCTCTTATTTCCTCCCCCGCCACAAGCACACCTTGTTCCTCCCACCCCTCTCACCTTGCAGCTTCCTTCTTCTCCCAGACTCAGATTTGGTACGTTCTCTTGCATTACTTGCCCATTACCATGGGAACAATCTCCCTCTTCTTGTCTGCCAGGTATCCTCTGCCTTCTTCATATTCATCCTTTTAAAAATCTACTACTTCCAGGTATAGGGTGGCCAGGTGCCTGGTTTTTTGACCGGAAAGTGCAGTCGAAAAGGGGACCTGACAGTGTCAGATCTACTGACCAGACACTCAAAGTCTGGTTACTGCGGGTGGGGGAGGCAGGGAGGCACTGAGTCATCACCCGCACCATCCCCTACTTAGCTGGGGCCACCTCCTACCTGTGTCAGGTGGCTGCAACTCCCAGCCCCTGCTCCGCAGGTGAGTCCCTCCTGATCCAGGCAGAGGTGGGGGAAAGAGGGGACGAGCAACAGGGGGCAGCAGGGAAAGAGGAGCGAACGGGGGGCTTCAGGGGGAAGTGTCCAGTTTTTAAATATTACAAAGTTGGCAACCCTATTCAGGTATCCTCCCTACCGCCTCCTCCACTGGCAACTCCCTAGTGTTACATGCCATGTTTGTCTTGTCTGTCTTAGCTCCTGTCCTGTCATGAGCTCTGCAGAGGTAGACCCAGGCACTGTACCAGTGCAGGGGTCTGCCTATGTGAATGTCATTACGGGATCGGGGCCTTCGGTTGCAAACTCCTCATTGTCTGCTGGTCTTTCATAGCAAAGAGAATTAGAGAGAGCTAGGAAAACTCAGACTTCTCATGTCAGCACCAATTTATTGATTTGTTATTAAAAACCACACAAGCTCAGAGAACATATGTGCAGGAGCTCTAGTCAACCGAACAACAGATACGTTTACAAGCAATTAAAGTATCATGCAGTTGGCTCTGTGTAATAAAATAATTAATATATCACCAGATAAATGCAGCAGCCAATCCAATCCTGCTGCATCCCTAGCCCCATGCCCTCAGTTCTTCCCAGACGCCCTATTGAAGAGCTATGTATATTAAGAACACCTCTACCCCGATATAATGCGACCCGATATAACATGAATTCGGATATAACGCGGTAAAGCAGTGCTCCGGGGGGCGGGGGGGGGGGGGGGGGGGTGTGCGAACTCCGGTGGATCGAAGCAAGTTCGATATAACGCCGTTTCACCTATAACGCAATATGATTTTTTGGCTCCCGAGGACAGCGTTATATCAAGGTAGAGGTGTAGTTTGGTTGGTTGTTTATTGCTTGCTTGGCTTTTGTAAATTGTTTTTCTTATAGTTTTGGCGGGGGCAGGGCCGGCTCCAGGCACCAGCCCACCAAGCTTGTGCTTGGGGCGGCACCTGGAGGGGGGCGGCGCGGTGCTCCGGCCGCCGGGGAGAGCGGAGCCCCGGCTGG